AGTTATAATATCTATGAACCGCCTTGTTTTACAAACTTAGATTTCAATTTTACCGCATGAAGCACACGCGGCTTTTATCATTAATCTTCCGTTTTTTTTTGTAACATATTGAGGATTTACATTATCGGTGTATGTTCGTTCTTTTAAACAATATATTTGTTTTTGTAAATCATTTATATATATTTTAATTATAAAAAAGGACTCGTCGGTTCCCGCGCTGTATTCTATTTATGAGTAGTATAGAGTATGATGGTTCCGGGGGATTTTGGCCTGAGGGTGTTTCTTAAATCAATAAAATGGGGTTTTATGTCGAGCTGTCTTACTTTTTGGGTTGATAGGTAAGCTATGTCGAGCTGTCTTACCCTTTGGTTGATAGATTAAACACTTTTTTAGGCTTCAAAGTGTCCCGGAACCATCATACTCTATACTACTGACGTACCACCGTTTGGATCTTTCGAAAGTCTTTCAGAGGATGAGATTAAAATGCTCATAAGTCAGTTACAAACTAAATCTTGTGAGCTTGACATTCTGCCCACCAAAGTATAGAAATCATTTCTCAATGAACTTTTGCCTATGATTACCCAGCTTGTGAATCTTTCTCTGACGCAAGGTGTTTTTCCAGCTAAATGGAAAAAGGCAATAGTCAGGCCTCTGTTGAAAAATCTGGTCTTGAACTCACATTTGCCAACTATCGACCCGTCAGCAACTTGTCATTCTTGTCCAAATTGATTGAAAAAGCCGCCCTTCATCGACTAAACAAACATGTAAACGGAAACGATCTCCTTCCAACGAATCAGTCGGCCTATCGTCAGTTTCACTCCTGTGAGTCAGCCCTTCTTAGACTCGTAAACGACATTCTTGATGCAATGGAGCATCAAGAGGTCACTGCACTGATAGCTCTAGATTTAAGTGCTGCTTTTGATACTGTTGACCATAACATACTGTTAAATGTTCTTGAAACTCAATATGGCGTCTTTGGATCTGCGCTGGAATGGATAGATTCATATTTGAGGCCGCGTAGCTGTCGAGTGAGTGTTAACTCGAATGTGTCATCAGAACGGGAACTTGACTGTAGTGTCCCCCAGGGAAGCTGTTTGGGCCCTTGGCTCTACTTGACGTACGCAGAAACTATCTTTGACATTGTACCTCCCTCCATTTCCGTGCACGGATTTGCCGACGACCACGTTGCGAATAAACGTTTTAAACCATCACCTACCGCAGAAGCAAGCGCAATTCGGGACCTCCAGGACTGTGCAGTGCATATAAATGAGTGGATGAACAGCAACAAGTTTAAAAATGAACAATTCAAAGACAGAGTTTATTCTTTTCGGAAGTCGTCCACAGCTGAATAAGTGTAACACCAAAGAAATCAATATATGTGGTAATGTTATTGAATCACAACATTGTATACGGTATCTTGGTGCTTTTTTGGATGAGTCTCTAAATTTCAAAGATCACATTAAAAGAAAGTGTAGAACTGCTATGTTAAACTATTTCAAGATCAAGAGCATTCGAAAGTATCTGACAAAGGAAGCCGCTGAAACACTTGTTTTATCTTTAGTAATATCCCATTTAGATTATTGCAACATCATTCTGTACGGCATATCTCAAAATGAATTAGCCAAACTTCAACGTATTCAAAAATATGTGTGCCAAACTGGTGTTAGGTCGTTCCAAGTATGATAGTTCTAAACAGGCATTATTCGATCTGCACTGGCTTCCGATTAAAGCACGAATCAGTTTCAAGATACTGACATACATGTATAACTGTTCGGTAGGAAACGCACCATCATATTTAATAGAGCTTTTGTCTCATCAAGTGTCAAAACGAACCTTAAGATCATCTGAATCCTCAGTTGGTTGTTATGTTGTTCCTTTTAATAAGAAGAGGACTTTTTCTGACAGAGCTTTTAGCACGATAGGACCAAAATTGTGGAATGAACTACCTATTAATATGAGAAAATGTGAATCTGTTGAAATTTTCAAAAGACAACTGAAATCATTTTACTTCAAGGACTTTTTTGCACTTTTTTAAGTGACGCTGAAGGCATTGTCTGTTCCTAATTGTTTTGTGCATGTTTGTATATTTCTAGTGTTTTTATAATTTTCATTGTATAATAATATAATAAAGTCTAGCCCATGTGTTATCATGTGCAGGGGTGTAGATTGTTACATGTTGGTGGGGATTGACCCAATCACTGTGACCGTCGCACTGCTGGGAGTATTGTGTATGGTAGCACTGGGAGTAGCACATATAAGGTATATAGCTGTACAACGCCATTGAATATGTATTTTATATGTAGAAATAGGCGTTAAATCAAGTTTTCAAGTTTCAAGTTTCACACAATTTCACCTCATTATACATTGATCTTATAATTGACTAGAATTTGCCGTCAATACCTAATTTTATAAGTTTATACCATAACCTTGACCTATCAATACAGTCATATGCTTTTCTATAATCAACGAAACAACAGTACAGTTTCTTTTTATTTTCAATTTGCCTTTGTATGAGTGAATGTAAGATAAAAACAGGATCAACTGTGCTATACCCATTTTTGAAACCAAACTGGGCATCCGACAATACACAGTTGTCTTCAGCCCATGATTTAAGCCTTTCGTTTAATATAATTGTAAACAGCTTAGAAAAACAGCTAGTAAGTGTGATTCCTCTATAATTGTTGGGATCTGAAATATTGCCCTTCTTATGCAAGGGAATAAGAACACCTTTATCTTGTGCACAGAATTGTACAAACACAACACAATAAACCTACATGTACACAGAGATAAAGAATAGCTTCCTTGATGCAACTGTCAAGGTAGATGTGCAATCATTCAGTTTAGCTTTTATTTTTTGGTGAAAAAATAGAGGTTAAAGGTGCCAATTTGCATATCATTTGATGCTCAAACTGGCACTTGAGCAGGGGTGTGGAAAGTTTCTGATGCCAGCAGACAAGTTTGGCAGAAATTTACCTTGTCCACAGCTTAACTGTCTCATCTAAAACTAAATAAGTAGAACACATGTTTTAGCAAAAGTTGTTTAGAGGTTACAATGCCCTTACTTTGTAAAATATGAAAAGATTTCCCTTAGTAAAGTTCTGACTTATGATCAGCAGTTTTTGGAAGCATCCTGCAAATCTAAAACAAGAATAAATAAGGTCTCAATTATTATCCTTTCAGAGCAAATACATGTACACTAAACAGGGCATTTTTTTTAAACTTAGAGCCATGATATTATGACTTTGAAGAACACCACTATGTAATATGATGCCACAAATATCTAAGCTCTAAGCCAGGCAGTTTCAGGCAAGAAGATCTGACTAATCTTTTCAACCTGATAACTCTCAAAGGGTCATCTTTTAGCACTCTACTCTTAAATATAATAAAAAGCTGAGAAAATTCAATTGTTGCACAAATTTATCAATGTGGTGTCAGACTTATTATAACAATAATGTTGAATATGTATTAAACTGTTTGTTCATTTATATGCTGATACAACATTCTTGTACTAAACAACATTTCAATGACTGATAAGATAAGCATATTGCCCTATATTTATGTCAATGTATGTTTTGGCCTCTTCGTTTTTAGTGTAATCTTATCTTTAAGTCTTTTGTTTCCATATTTCCATTCCAAAGGCAGAGTGTATTGTATGTTACCATAATTAAGTTTAATGTCAGAAATTCATTAAAACTGAAACTTGATTACATTTGTATTTTCAAAATGACATCAGTTTGTATTTTTGTTGTCATATTGGCAGTAATGCCTGTTTGTTTTGGACAAGATGACTTTACAACACTTGTAGAAAGGATAAAAGCTGTGGAAGCAAGAGGTAATTTTCTTGTAACAATTATACTCAAAAAAAAACAGTCAATATGCATTAATACTCATCTTTATGGCTGTTAAAATTTTTAGTCTCATTAAGAAACAGGAAAATGTCATATGTAATCATAATTATGTCAATTGCTCTAATGATATTAAGAAAATTACTTAACTAATCACACTTGAATTTAGTTAAGCATAATATTACTATCAATTAAGCATGTTAGAATAGGAAGAAAGATTACACTTTAATTAATGCAAATTTTTTATAGCATAATATGCTGTAGAGACGCTTTTAAAATTATCACTTTTACCAACAGCATTTCTATTTCTACAAAAGAAATAATTCAAACTAACCAATAAAATGAAATCAACTCACTCAACATTAAAACATAAACAATGTTTACAATTAAGGACATATATTCTTACCTTTAGGTACAGTAATATTTTAAGAATGGTTATATGAAATAGGAACAAGATTCTGACAAAAGAATTTCTACATGGTTTAAGACAATTAAGAGAAACATCACCCAAAGATTAAAACTGTATAATGTCTACTCATTAAATATTTCAGACATGGAGCACTTACTACGAATAAAGCAACTAGAGAGACAAGTTCAAAACTCTAATGAAAAGCTGAACCTCATGTCTGCCACCAATCACAACCTTCAAACTGAACATTCTACCTTGTTACAAAAGTTAACAGATCAAGAAATAACCATAGCCACATTGAGGACCGACTTAGATAATCAAAAATCAATCTCCGAGGAAAGTTCACGCCAAACTGCAGTTTTACAGTCAACTGTGAATGGAATGGGTGTCACAATAGCGAAGTTAAAGCAAATATTTGCCAGTTACAAGACCAGCTTCCAAGAGCACTCAAATGATGAAACAGAAAACAAGTATCACAAAGAAATAAAACAGGCTGATACTGCCAGCAAAGAGCTTTCTGATGCTAGTTTCTCCAGTAAATATCTGAAAATGCCATCTTTGGATAACAACAAGAAGAACATATCCTTGGGTCATGCTGACATGTCTAAGACAAATAGTCTTCATGATTCTCTGATAAGTTTTGTTGGGGAAAAAGGTGGTGAAATTAAGGCCTCACAGAGAATAAAAGACAACAAATCAAGACAAGCAGGTTGGTCTACTTCATACTTTAATCATAATATGCAGTAGAACTTCTGAGTCGAATTTTGATTAGTCGATTTCTGGATGTGTCAAAGTAAAATGAAAGTCATGATTTTTTCCCCTATATATTCCTTATAAAAATCTAAATATGAGTTGAGATTTTATAAGATGCTTTTTCGATGTGTCAAAGTTTTTTTCGTGGTCTGAATAGAATAAATCTAGTAAAATTTACAACAAATAAGTCGAAGTCCTTTGATTTCTTTTTACACCTTCGATCTCAAGACATTTTTTCACATCTTTTCTGGCCACAAAAATGATTTCCGATCAAATTGCTTTTCAGTGGTTCATAGAAATATATCAGTGAAATATAAAACTGATAATTTCAATGTTTATCAATTTGATAATTTTCACTATTTTGAATTTAAGCCCCTCACGTTGTTTTAGTCAAATACCAGCATGCACAGTACTGGAAATCAACTTAATGACGTGACGTCGTAAATGACGTCACATAATATTATTATTTGGCACGTTTTTCATTTAATATCAGGTTAAATGTCTTTTTAAACATTTCTTTGCATATAATAAAAAGAAAATTATTTTGTTTAGTAAAGTGTAAGATCGAAATATATTTCACCTTATGAACACCAAAAGTTCATATTTCACTTGTGGCTGCACAACACATGAAATATATCTTTTGGTGCTCCCTCTGTGAAATATATTCTGATCTTACACTGAACTAAACAAATACTCATATAATTATATAATCAATTTAATTCAGGTAATCATATCTTTAATCTCATTTTTACTTTATCATTCATTACAGGACTCAATATTGTCAATTCAAAACAAAGGGCAGCTACAAACTTTGTTGCATTTCACGCTGTGCTTACTCCATATCATATTGATCATCTTGGAGGCAATGAGAACATTAGATTTGATAGTGTTCTGTTAAATGAGGGAGATGGCTACCATAATCAACATGGACTCTTCATAGCTCCAAAACCTGGATTCTATCTTTTCTCAGTCACCTTGGCAACAAATTATGATCAAAAATTTTATGCTCAATTAAAGAAAAATGGAGCAATATTAGTTAACTTATCTGGTAATGGTCAGGCAGGAGGATATCTTGACCAAGGTTCAGTTACCATAGTAACAAAACTAAATACAGGTGATGAAGTATGGGTGGCACATTATTCTCCTGCGGATGGTTCTATCTGGGGAAACTATTATTCCAGTTTTACTGGTGTTTTTCTTGCTGACTTTCAATAAAAGAAATTGAAGAATTCCAATTAAAATTAAAAATGTCTTATCTATGTTTTCACTTATAATTTTTTTATGGTTTGTTTTATATATTTATATATGGCATTAGAACCATGATTCAAAGACTAGAGCCAGATGTGAAACAGCTCATTTGTAAGCTGACTAAAAGGTTTATAATATATGCAACAAAGTGATGTTTATAAATCTGTTTAAAGATATCAGTGTAAAATTTATAGAGGGAAAAAATCAAGTGAAGACATTTTCTTTTAAATAGAGATGTACATGCTTTTTGTTCAAACTGTTGCATATAGAGGACAGAAAATACAATTATCACCTTTAACAAAGAAGTGACAATAAACAATTACTTAAAATATATAAGAATGAAGAGCACCTCAAAATCAAAGCAATATATTTATCAGATGCAAATTTGTTTACCATAGCTATTTCCTAAGTGCTTTAAAGGAGATAACTGAGAAAAAATAGATGCCACATTTATGTAACTTGTTCTATAATATCAAGCCATCCATGTGTACATGTAGAACTTGAGAAAAATCAAAACTTGCCAATCAAGCTTTCAACTAAATGTACATAGAGATAAAGAATACATACTTGATGCAATTGTCAAGGTAGATGTGCAAAAATACAGTTTTGTGCAAATTTTATTCCCTTGAATTAAAATGATTTCACACTTTTAACAAAAGTCAAAGTAACAATAAATACAGTAAGTAGAGAATTTTTTTTAACTAGGAGTCATGATATTATTACTCTAAAAACACCACTATGTAATACTACATGCAGGATGATGCCACAAATATCTAAGCTGGGAGCCAGACAGTTTTAGGCAAGAAGATTCAACTTAATCACTCTCAAGCACTCTTTGCTCAATCATGATAAAATGCAGAGAAAATCCAATTTACAATACACAAAGTTATCAATGACTGTCTTACAATACTGTGAACTGCTTGCATATTCATAAATAGATACAATATTCTTGTACTAAACCACATTTCAAAGACTGTCAAAAGGTTATCAGATAAGCACATTGTCCTTTATATATGTCAATGAATGTTCTGGCCTGCTTTTATATAGTTTTATCTACCTTTTGTTTCCACTTAACGCTCTTAAGGGCATACAACTTGTTGCATCTTAATTGTCAGATCATTATAATTGAAACAAAATGACATCAGTTTGTATTTTTGTTCTCATATTGGCAGTAATGCCTGTTTGTTTTGGACAAGATGACTTTACAACACTTGTAGAAAGGATAAAAGGTGTGGAAGCAAGAGGTAATTTTCCTGTAACAATTTTATTCACAAAAACAACTGAATATGCTTTAATACTCATCTTTATGACTGTTAAAAAAAGTTTTTGTCAGATGAAGAAATATGAAAATGTCATAATTATGTATCATATTATGACCTGCCATTGCTCCAATAATGTTAAATTAATTACATACATGTAATCAATCTCACTTTAGTTCAACATGATATTACTACCAATCAATCTACCAATCAAACATGTTGAACAGGAAGACAGGTTACACTTTCATTGATGCAAATTTTTTATAGCATTATATGCTGTAGAGATGCTTTTAAATTCATCTCTTTTACCTACAGTATTTGTAATTCTACAACAGAAATAATCCAAACTTAGCAATCAAATAACACATTAGACATTTAAACTAAAACAATGTTCACAATTTAGGGCACATATTCTTATCTTTATATCTGACATTTTTACACATAATTACATGTACAATGTCGTACAGTAATATTTTAAGAACAGCTATATGAAATAGGAACAATATTCTAAAACAAGAGCCCGGTTTGAGCCGGGTGATGCTCCCCGAATAGGTTTTGGACAAAAGAAAGTACACCTCTTGTAGTTTCAGAGTTATGTCCCTGGAAAAAGTTCAAAGTGCAATAATTCCAAAATTAGGAAAGGCAGAGTTATTGTTCTGTGCACTGCCCTTCTAATCACTGTTATCTATCAACTTACAAAGTTTCTTGTTGATATCTCTTATGGTTTTTGAGGTATGGTCTGGACAACTTCAAAAATTTAAAATAAACAAAGGGCAATAACTCCAGAATTAGGCAAGGCAGAGTTATGATTCTCATGCACTGCACATCTACCCATTGAGATACATCTACCTACAAAGTTTCATGTTAATTTCTCTTATAGTTTTACAGCTATGTCCAGTACAAGATTTTTCTAAAAGGGGAGATAATTAAAAAATGAGGCTTAACAGAGTTATGTTTTTTTTGCACTGCACTTCTACTCAATGAGATCTATCTACCTACAATGTTTCATCTTGATATCTCTTATAATTTTAGAGTTATGTTCCGGACAAAGCTCAGTGTTAAAATTAACAAAGGGCAATAACTCCAAAATAAGGACAAAAAGAGTTATTGTTCTTATGCACTGCACATCTACCCATTGAGATCTATTCACCTACAAAGTTTCATGTTGATATCTCTTATAGTTTTAGAGTTATGCCCCGGACAAGATTTTTTATATCTGGGGAGATAATTCAAAAATGAGGCTTAACAGAGTTATGGTTCTTTTGCACTGCACTTCTACTCAATGACATCTATCTACCTACAATGTTTCATCTTGATATCTCTTATAGTTTTAGAATTATGTTCCGGACAAAGTTCAAAGTGTTGAAATTAACAAAGGGCAATAACTCCAAAATTAGGACAAAAACAGTTATTGTTCTTATGCACTGCACATCTACCTATTTGGATCTATTCACCTACAAAGTTTCATGTTGATATCTCTTATAGTTTTAGAGTTATGCCCCGGACAAGATTTTTCTATAAGGGGAGATAATTCAAAAACCGGGCAAAATAGAGTTATGGTTCTTTGACACTGCACTCCTATTCAATGCCCTCTACCTTTGTATGAAGTTTAAACAAACTAGAACTATCACTAAATGTGATTAATACACCACAAGTATGCTTCGGAAATGAGGATGTTACTAGTAACAAAATACCTTGTAAAAGAATTGAAGCATAGAGTTATGGTTGTGGGCAATTAAAGATAATTGTGGTTCATGTATGTTGCATTTCCTTTCAATGTGGTTGGCCATTGATGAAGTTTAATTGAATTACTCTGTAATAAGTCCAGAAAGACAAAGAAAAAGAACAAAGGGCAATAACTCTATAAATACTGAAGATAGAGTTATAGTTCTTGTGCACTGCACTTCCTCTTATTGTGCTTGACCATTGTATGAAGTTGTTTTGGATTCCAACCAGTACGTTTTAAGTTAAGCTCCGGACAAGGAAAAGTATCAAAGAGCAGTAACTCTGTATTTTGTCAAAATGGAGTTATGGCTCTTGTGCACTGCACTTCCTTTGAATGTCCTTGACAACTGTATGAAGTTGTACTGAATTCCAAACAGTAGTTTTCAAGTTATGCTCTGGACAAGGAAAAGTAACAAAGGGAAATTACTCTGTAATTAGTCAAGATAAAGTTATGGTTCTTGTGCACTGCAATTCCCCTTATTGTGCTTGACCATTGAATGAAGTTGTTTTGAATTCCAACCAGTAGTTTTCAAGTCATGCTCTGGACAAGGAAAAGTAACAAAGGGCAGTAACTCTGTAATTAGTCAAGATGGAGTTAAGGTTCTTATGCACTGCACTTCCTCTCAATGTGCTTGACCATTGTATGAAGTTATAATGAATTCCAACAATAAGTTTTCCAGTTATGGTCCGGACAAAAGAAAGCAATGGAAAAGTAACAAAGGGCAATAACTCAGTAATTAGTCAAGATGGAGTTATGGTTCTTGTGCACTGCACTTCCTTCCCCTTATTGTGCTTGACCATTGTATGAAGTTGTTTTGAATTCCAACCAGTAGTTTTAAAGTCATGCTCTGGAAAAGGAAAAGAAACAAAGGGCAGTAACTCTGTAATAAGTCAAAATGGAGTTATGGTTCTTGTGCACTGCACTTCCTCTCAATGTGCTGGACCATTGTATGAAGTTATAATGAATTCCAACAATTAGTCTTCAAGTTATGGTCCGGACAAAAGAAAGCAATGGAAAAGTAATAAAGGGCAATAACTCTGTAATTACTTTAGATAGAGTTATGGTTCTTGTACACTGCACTTCCTCTCAATGTGCTTGACCATTGTATGTAGTTATATTGAATTCCAACCATTAGTCTTCAAGTTATGGTCCGGACAAAAAAAAGAAGGCAATGGAAAAGCAACAAAGGGCAATAACTCTGTAATTACTTTAGATAGAGTTATGGTTCTTGTGCACTGCACTTCCCCTTATTGTGTTTGACAATTGTATGAAGTTGTTTTGAATTCCAACCAGTAGTTTTCAACTTATGCCACGGACAAGGAAAAGTAACAAAGGGCAATAACTCTGTAATTAGTCAAGATAGAGTTATGTTTCTTACGCACTGCACTTCCTCTCAATGTGCTTGACCATTGTATGTAGTTATATTGAATTCCAACCATTAGTCTTCAAGTTATGCTCCGGACAAGGAAAATGCAACGGACAAAAAAAAAAGCAATGGAAAAGCAACAAAGGGCAATAACTCTGTAATTACTTTAGATAGAGTTATGGTTCTTGTGCACTGCACTTCCCCTTATTGTGTTTGACAATTGTATGAAGTTGTTTTGAATTCCAACCAGTAGTTTTCAAGTTATGCCCCGGACAAGGAAAAGTAACAAAGGGCAATAACTCTGTAATTAGTCATGATAGAGTTATGGTTCTTGTGCACTGCACTTCCTCTCAATGTGCCTGACCATTGTATGTAGTTATATTGAATTCCAACCATTAGTTTTCAAGTTATGCTCCGGACAAGGAAAATGCAACGGACGTCTGGACCGACCGACCGACGGGTGACTCCTATATACCCCCCCCAAACTTCGTTTTTGGGGGTATAATTATCTCCAAGGGTTTTCAAGTTATGCTCCGGACAAGAAAACGGACGGACAGACGTACAAGGCGCCGACTATATGCTCCCCCGAAATTTTCGGGGAGCATAAAAAAGAATCTGTACATGTTTCAAGACAATTAAGAGAAACATCACCCAAA